ATCCTTACCTCTCCCGCACCTGGCCGTTTGGGCTCAGGTACTGAGTTGGAGCGATCGTACCTTGATCGCTTGGGAGGGAAAGATATCCATCTATCCCTCCATCTCTCTACCAACGGATCAGGGGTTCTGTACTCTTGTACTTCAACCCCATACACAGAGCTTGCTACGCAGCGAATCTCTGAAGCTTCCGAGGCTCTGTTCGGGGATCTCGCGGTTGAGCCCGAGAGAGCCACTTTTGAGCTGGGCGACGGTCTGTCGGACGGCGATTCTGATGCCGACTACGATTTAGTTTCTCAGTTTTTTTTCGGTGACACGGCTGATGCCGTCAGTTCCGCCCCCGCCGGCAGCGGCAGTAGTGACTCTGTGCGCGAGCCCAGTGGCCAGGCTGGTAATATTGTGCTGGAAAAGGATGTCTTGGGGACGTATAAGGGGGACTCAGCCTCTGGACCCCCCCCCCCCCCCTCGGCAACCCATAATTCAGCAGACCTCCCCTCTTTCCCGATTCCCTCCGAGATTTGGCAGTCGCGCAGAAGGCAGGTCGGGTTCACGCACTCCGTCGAGCAAGACGTTTGGCCGATTGTACGCAATTTTGCTGCTTGCGCCGTCGGGGGCCAACATGTGTGCCAACTGGGAGCCTGGCACGGATCTTGGGCGTCTACGGTTGAGCAAGCGATATCTCAGCATCATGGGGTCCAACTCGCTGCAGGTACCACGAGGTCTCAGGGGCCCTTCTTTCGGGAGGTTGAGATGAAGGCCCCTGATAAGGCACGTGATCAACCGCTGCACGACGTCGTCGCCAGCTGGTGGGGACGCCCTGCTAGGGTCCTGGGCTCCATTAGCAAGCACAGGTCTAGGCAGAACGGTGCAGTACAGCAGGCGCAGCTCGTTCAGGCGTGCATCGCCCTCGCTGGGGACCAACCTGCAGGGGTGCACGTTCCTCTAGAGCGGACCAGGTCGGTCAATGAAGAAGGGGGACTCTCTACATGGTCAGCATGGCAGGCCAAGCTTTTTCGAGTGGCCACTCTTTCCGATGCAGTTGTTGAGCGGCTAGCTCACACAGCCAAGCGAGTCGCAGGTCGAGCACGACGGCGAGCTCTTTATTCTTTTTTGCGCGAGCTTCGAGAATGGATCACTACCTCGGAGGCTCCTGGGATCTTGCATAAATCCATCAAGAAGCCCCCCCCTGTCCCCGATGAAATTCAGGTCGACGGGAAAACGCTTTTTCACCATCGGGACATCGTGGACCACAAAACCAAGCACTGGCACGAGCTCTGGAGCCCGAAGCCGCTGCCACTTTCTGACGTCACGGCTCTCTTCCAGGATATCCGAGAGGCAGCAGCTGCGGGGCAGCTCGAGCCCTTGTCCGTCGAGCGCGTCCAGCGCGCCTTGCACTCCATTAAGGCCAAGGCAGGACTCGGGGTTGACAACCTCAGTCCCACGGATATGGAACGTCTTCCTCCAAAGGGAATCCAGGAGTTAGTTTCGGTTTTCGGGGCCTGTGAGGAGTGCCTTTCCTGGCCCCGGCAAATTCTGCTCGTCACTGGGCGTCTCCTGGGGAAGAAGAATGGGGGGGGGCAGGGTCATTGGGCTCATGTCTATGTTTTCCAGGACTTGGTCTCTTGCCCGAGAGGACGAGGTTAGGAGTTGGTCTAAGGACTCGGAGCCTGCCTGGGACGCCGCCATCTCGGGCAACTCCGCGCTCCGAGAAGTGTTTTTTTTTTTTTGCGAGCTCTTCACGATGAAGGGCTTGCTCGGCTTGGCATCGCGTTCGGCGAGGGCCTCTGGGGCATCAAGGGGTTTTACGATGCTATGGGGTGGGTTCCACTGGCTAGGTCTGCTCTCAAGATGGGGTTCCCGCCGGCGGTCCTCGCCTTGGAGCTCCAGATGTGTCTGGCCCCGCGTGTTCTCTCGCAACTTGGGTCGTTCTTGGCGTTCCAGCAGCGGCAGAGTATCATCCAGGGTCTCCGCAGTGGAACTAGATTCGGGAGGTGTATGGTATATTACATTATGATGCTTTTGACTACTACACATGTCAACATGTCATATCGTATCTGGGTCGATGACTTGACGCAGCACACGGCTGGCACGCGCAAGCTGGTTCGGAATAGGTTGTTTCGCAGTGTGCTCGACACTTGCTACACGCTCCAGGAGCACGGCCTCCAGATTGCTAGCAAGAGCGTGATATTGTGTTCTAATGCGGTTGATGGCAAAGAAGTTGCGCGTCGGCTTCGCAGGAAAGGTATTGTTTTGCAACACGCCCTTCAAGCCGTTCATCTTGGGGTCGACTTGGGTGCTGGGAGGCCCGCAAGGGCCATGCGTCGCCAGAGAGATGTCAAAGCCAAGAACATGAATATGAAGGTTCGGAAGTTCGCTCGGTCGCCCAGGAAATATCGCACCACGGGGCTCATCGAGAGGACTGGGCCTCAAGCGGCTGGCACGCACGGGCATCAGATCACTGGTGCTTTTGGGGAATTTCGGTTACAATGTCGTCGGCGATTAGGTTGTGCACTGGCTTCTTCTAAGCGTGGGCGGTGCCTCGCTACTTTGCTGGATCTTTGTGCCGAGGGGCACGGTCCAGAGTACAAGTTACCTCGTGATGGGCTTCAACTTTGGTTGAAGACGTGGCTGGCCGAGCCCAGCATCCGTGGCCCTGTTCGTGCTGCATGGCCTGGGCTAGTGCGACAGCTGCGGGAACTCGCGCCGCAGCAGGTTTCACGACACGTTCGGGGCCCTATCTCGTCCATCATCGCATATCTTCTGGAGTTTGGATGGGGCCCTGTCTCCCCCTCTGAGTGGCGCACACCAGCTAAACGTGATGATGCAGGTGCTATTTGGTCTTTCCCAGACGAACTAGTTACCAGCTCGGAGGACATTAGTGGTTTGCCCACTGAGTTTGAGGGGAGTATTCGTGCCCAGCTTCGGGAAAAAAGCATCCAAACATTTTTGCGGTGAAGGCTTACAGGACGGGGTCGACAATGAATCCCTTAGGCAGTTACTTAAAGTTCTTAGTGGAGTTCCGCATGGGACCAAGCTCTCGGGGACCCTCCTGTGCGTGGCCATCGGGGGGGCGTGGCCTCTATCCAGGGTGAAGGACGAGACTGGCGCCATCAGTGACGATACGTGCCCCAGGTGTGGCCAGGGAAGAGAAACACCACTACGCAGGGGGTGGGCGTGCCCTTGCAACTCTGGACACAAAATCTGCACTGATTCGGACCACTTGATTCCCAGGGCCCAGTCGGGCCAAGATTCTGAACCGTGCGTTTGGTTTCGAGGTCTCATTCCGAGTTCTTGGACCCAGGTGCCAGCTCCCAGCGCCGATGAGGCCTGGGAGTTTTTTTTTTTCTCAGCGTTAGGTGCGCCGTTCGACGAGCACGCGCTCGGAGACGGCCACGCAGGCGAGCCTCTAGTGGTGTTCGGGGACGCCAGCGGAGGCGCAGATTCTCGTGGCCGACGGCTACGGCGTGTCGGAGTGCCAGCAGTGGTTATTAGCGATGTCGAGGGGTCCCACGTCGGGTCTGCGATCTTTGGGCTTCTGCCTGGTAGTATCCAGTCTGTACCGAGGGGCGAGATCTGGGGTTTACTGCTGGCGCTCAGGCACTCTCGGGGGCCCTTGGTGCATGTTACAGACAACAGTGGAGTAGCTGACGGGTGGTATCAGGGATTCTGGAAGGTTCTTCAGGGAGCCAATGCGAATATCTGGAAGCTCGTGGGCCAGGAGATGCAGTTTCGCGACCAGTCGCAGGTTTGTGTCATTCAAGTACCATCCCACATCGAGGCTGATCAGATTCCAGGCTCGGGCTTCCCTGAATTTTTGGTTCTTGGAAATCACACTGCAGATGAGTTCGCTAGCATTGCTGCGAAAAGATGTCGGCGATCGCCAGAGATTCGTTCACGGGTCATGAGAACGGAGATGGACGCCAGCCTAGTTCGTCGGAGGTTGCTACGGGCGACGCTCGAGGCAATGACAGCTCGCCCGAGCCCCAGCCGTACCTGTACGACAAGGCCGCCTCCCCCTCCCGCTCCCTCCTCCATTGCGCCGTTTGCCTCCCAGCATTGCCTCGACAGCAAAGGCACTAGGTGTTTGCGGTGTCGTGGTCAGTCGTCCCAGGAGGCCCTCACTGCATGGTTGCGTTCTTCGTGTTTCGGGTTGATTGCCGCAGGGTCTGACAAGTTTCAGTTGCCGAGGGGGAAGCAGGTTCATATAGGAGGAGGCTGGGTTCACCCGTCCCATCAGCTCGTGTTTGCCCCTGCCCACCGAATATGGATTTGCAGCACTTGTGGTTTCTTCGGAGGTGAGAAGCTCAGCAGTAGTCTCGCTGAGTCGTGTCCCAAGCCCCTCAGCACGGCTCGGAGACGATACCTCACCAATTTCGAGCTTGGGAGATATCCCAAGGATCAGGTTTCGAAGGTCTCGAACCGAGCGAAGGCCTCGTAGTTCGTTTCCCTTCCTGTCGCATCGCACCGCGGTGGAGCCCATTCCATGCCATTCCTCCTCTTCCTCCTCCCCCTCCCTCTCTGCTCCTTCTTTTCCTGGCGCCCCCCCCAAAAAAAACGCGAATCTCAAGTCAGACTTTTTGAGGGGGGGCACCAGGAGAGAAACAAAGAGGCAGATAGGGAGGGGGAGGAGGAGAGGGAGGAGGAGGCTTGGGGGAGCGGAGGCGGAGGAGGAGGAGGCGGAGGAGGAGGAGGCGGAGGAGGAGGAGGAGGAGGAGGAGGAGGAGGAGGAGGACGACGACGACACAGAGCAGAGCTTGCGCAGAAACAGTCGCGAGCTTAACGCCGCAGCCTCGCGCGCGCCCTCTGGAACCTCAGGGGTTCCAGCATCCCCCGTGCCCCATTCAGGCGAGGCCCCGCCGTGTAAAGGATCCACCCTCCATCTTTCTAATAATATGAGGAAGTCGAATGACGCGCATCCCGCGATCATCCGGTTTGGGGAACTATCCACTCTGTAGCCTCGCAATCGTTGCACAATTTGGCCTTTCGGGTCGCAGAATTTGAAGATGTCCGAGGTGCAGAACCGCTCTTTCGAAGGGAAGCAGGCCTTCGGGTCAGGGTGGGCTGTGGAAAGGACCAGAAAAAAAAACACGCTTCGACGGCGCATCGGCACACATTGGATTGAAGCAGAATTTGCGGGGGTGTCTCAGGGAAGAAGAGGCCCGGAGGCGGAGGTGTCAGACGAGTTAAGAGGGGGCCCGGGGGGGGGCAGGGTCGGGTTCGGCTGCAGCATAAGAGGGTGGGGTGTTTCAGAAGAGGAATGACAATTATTTCATCGCTTCGCTCATTCCGCCGGCCCTGGAGCGCTATTTGGGGCCTTTTGGGGCCGTTTTGGGGGCCTCTTGGGGTTTTTTGGGGGGCGTCTTGGGGCTCGTTGGCGGCGTCTTGGGCTCCCTTGGGGCCTCTTAGGGGACGCTTGGGGGCCCCTTGGGGCGGGAGGGGGGGTAGTCGATCGAAGCCACCCCCATCGGAGGCCACGATTTTCGTGAGTGGTGGCAAAAAAATACCCCCCCCTGGGGATCGCCCGGGACCCGGCCGGGGGCCAGCCGGTGTACTTTTCGTCCGGGGGCCCCCAGGGGCCGCCCCGCGCGCGCGAACTAGAAATATTATTAAGTAGTTATCGGACATCTTAGCACGGCTTTGGCCCGTTGGGCCGGCGAATTTGGTGTGGGGGTGTCAGACCATGCGAGGGCAAGATGAAGGCAACGTGAGGCCAAGCGGGCAGCAGGGCGGGGAGGTACGGCCAGGGCTGAAGAACAAGGGGGTGTCCGAAGAAACGGGTCTTTCGTGGTGGAGGTGCCAGAAGAGTATTCACAAAGAAGAGTGTTGTGTGCGGGTGTCACACCAGGCGCGGGGCAGGTGGAGGCAAGGTTCGGGTTAGGCGGGTGCCAAAAACCAGGTGTGGGGGGTCAGGTAGGTTTGGGGTGAAGGTCACGAGGGTGAGGAATCCTAAGGAGTCCTGGGGGTGGGTGCTTCAGACCAGGTGGAAGCCAGAAGCGCGGCGAGGGTTCGACATGGACCACGTAATTAATGGGAACGGCACAGGCCAGCTTCCCACCACATCAGTAGCACGCGAGACTCAGCCAGGAAGAGGTCGTCACTGGGAAAATAGCCAGTGGGAACCGATACATGCGCAACCTGCTCCAGCCGCGCCAAGTGCATCAAATGCCTTAGTGCGCGACGCGCACGGGGCGCTCCAGGTGCACCAGTGCGCATGGCGGCACGCATCAGGTAGTATGTCGTCCCCCCCGCCATGCGTTTAACACATTGCAGTGTGAAGGCGGGGTGGTCAGCATGGTGTATGGTGTGCGCGTCTTCACTGGGCTCGCATCGGCTTATGAGAGGGATCGGGTGAAAGCGCAAGGCCGACAAGCATGCTTCCCTTCCCCGCCGTCCTTGCCAAAAACCGATGCGCGAAGTGCTTGGGGTCCAGGTCGAAGGGGGCGGGGATTCCAAGAAGAAGAATTCTGGGCGGGGGCGGTCAGACCAGGGAGTCAAATGGATGCAGGGTGAGAGCTCGTTGGAGGCGAGAGGGGGGCGGGGTCAGGGCCTGGTTTGGGCAGAAGAGCAGTCGGGGGGTAATCATAATATTCTTTGGATCCGACTAGGGCGGATTCTAGGTGAAGGCCATGTGGCTGGTCTGGGAAGGGGGAGTTCCAGGCTGAGCAGTTCGAGCGGGAGGCAAAATGGAGGAGGTGGGGTCCACTAGGAGTGTCAGATCATGTTCTGAGGGGCGGCAGGACACTGCATTGGGGCGATTGACAGGTATGGGGAACGGAGGTGTCAGACCAGGTCATCTGGACAGGTGTGAAAATAAAGGAGTCATTGGGGCGAGATGAGACAGTGGAGGGGGCGGGGGGGGGCCCAAACGGAGAGGTCACTGAGGTAGGAGCGCGTGACTGGAGTCCAGGAGGTGAGGGTGTGTTGCGTTCGAGATGTCAGTCAGAGCTAGGGTGAGTGTCACTGGATGTCACTTGGTGTGGAAGTGTATGGCGGTGTATAAGACTTCTCTCTCCCACGCCTCTCGGACCGTCGGATTCAATGTGTTCTGCGTCTGTGGAACAGTTGGTCATTCTCTGACGCTGTTACGATTCCGTATCACACTGGAGCATCGCCGTGATAACGTTCGGCAAATTTCCAGCAGCACCAGGGGTAGTGGACCAGGCCTGTGTTGGGATTGCTCGGCAGCATTCGCGGCGGGGTGTTGTAGTTGATGGAGTTGGGGGGGCAACCTGAGAGAGTCGCGTGGCATCCGAGGCTCACCACCACGAATCCGCCCGTGGCATGTCATGCCGTTTCGCGTGTCGTTCGCACCAGTGCGCTCTCTTTCTTCATGCTCCCCGCAGGCGATCCCGTGCGTGCTCGATGCCCATGACCGGCTCAATGGGAGCGTCGGCGTCAACGTCCAAATTTTGATCTGGACCGTTGGCAATACATGATCATTCTGCGATATGATGTGCGCGCATGTTTGTTGATGCGAGTAGGAATTCCATGTTGATCCGTGCATACCATGAAAGCAATGTTCAGCACCACAGAGCGGCGCACAACAACCAGATTGGTCGGCAGAAGATGCGTAACACCACATGGAGTGTCTCAACGATGCAATAACGTCGCTGACGGTTCACTTGTGATCAATCGGTACATTTACGTCTGATTGGCTCTGCGGAGATCCGTCTGCGCTGGATCGACAGAAAGGTGGTTATATAACATTAAAAAGCTCGGCTGGATGAGGGTGGTGTGGGCTTGGCTTTCGGAACATGGGGCCTGCGTGTACACACCTAGGGGCCTTCGGCCCATTCCTGGGACGTGGGCCAGGGGCCCTTCGACTCTCTCTGAGGGCCTCTTGAGGCCTCTTAGGGGTCTCTGGGCGACAACTTGGCCGTCAGTACGGGGCCTGTTGGGATCATTGGGGCCAACTTTGGGGGAGGGCCCACGGTCCATTCGAGTTTCCCTTTTCGGGCCCTTCTTGTGGCTGTCTTGGAGGCCTCTTGCGATGCGTTTGGGCCGTCTTGGGGCGGTCCGGGGGGACTCTTGGACCATCTTGTACACTCTCATGACCGAGCGGGCGAGCATGTAATATCCCCACAACACATCGTTGTATTGTTGAGCTGGCCCCCATGACCTCCAAGACAGCCAGAGAGACCCTAATCAAGTGCCGAGGACGTGGCCGAGGGATCATCCTTCGTGCACGTGGCAGATTTGGGTTCTCAATCTTGCTTCCCAGGTCTCCAGAAGTTCACGGGACACAGCCCGAAAGTGCGCGAGACGCTGCCCAGAGGCGCCTGGGTCTTGTGGGGGCTGCTGCCAGACGGGGGTCTTGGTGTTGCCGCCGCTCCTCGCTGCCCTCGCAGAGGCCGCTGGGAGCGAGGACCCACAGCCACCGTCCCAAGCTGCGCTGCTCCCAGGAGCACCCCGCCTCACGGGGTGGAGCAACTGGGCAGGCCTCCACCCCGCTGACCCGCTGCTGGCGCGGCTTGCATGTTGTTTCCAGGTCGAGGGGCTCGCAGACCCCAACCTCGCCGGCCCAGTCGCCGGGCAGCAGACAACGCACAGGGTCGAGGTGACGGCCGCGGCGGCGGCGGCGGCTCGCGTAATAGGCGGACTGGTCGACCTTGCCTCGGACAGCGAGCACGTGGTGCGGGAGTGCGTCAAGATCGAGACCGGCGCCGACCCGCGGGACTGGGAGCACGCCGATTTGTGGCATTGCTGGTGGATGCCGTGCGCAGCGGGCGGCTGTGGGTCTGCTGGGTACCAGCTCACAAGACGCAAGACGCAACCAGAGGCGCGCCTCCTGGGGCTGAGCGAGCGGGACCGCCTCGACAACGCTGCGGCCGTAGGAAACGCTGGCGCCGCCGCTACGAGCAGGGCACCGATGCCAGACGTGTTGCGCGCTTGCCGCTGGGAGCTGGAGCTGCTGGAGGCTGCGCGGCGTTATTGCTGCCACGGGCGCGACTGTCGCAGGGTCCGCCGCGGCGCCTGGGCGCGAGCCTCGTCTGCTCCAGCGACCGACGCCCCCGCCGGCCGGGCGAAGCTTGCGCCGACCTGCCCGCGCTGGATCGGCGCCATTGCGCCCGTCAGCAAGGAGGACATGCTGACCGCGCTTTTCGCTAGGCGATCGTGGTGGCCCCACGTCTTCGCGCGTGGGACCAGCCACGTCTTTTGCTTCCGCCGCGCCGGCAGTGCAGCGTCGGCAGCAGACCTGTTGGGGGGCGCGTGCCCAGGATGGCAGAGGCGTTTGGCAGCGCGGTGCCAGGCGGTGGTGCTCGTGGGCGAATTACCTTGCGCCTTGGGAAGCGCGGCGGCCTTTGCATGCCTAGTTGCGCAACGTATTGCGCAGCTCCCAGAAGTTCCATACTACACCTCGCGGGGAATCCGAAAGCCCGCGGCGGCGCGCGAGTTCCCGCGCCCGCACGTCAGAAAGCGCGAGACGCCCTGTGGATTGGTCGTCTGAGGCCTCTGAGGGCTTTGTCAGCATTCAAGATACGACATTCAAAACTGAGGAGTCGTGAGTAGCTGAGGTCATGCCATTCGGTGCCTGCGGCACGGTGGCGTGTCATGCGCGGACGATGGCCGTCGGCAGGACCATGTGAAGTGTCCACTCTGCTGCGGAGAAGCAGTCGGGATTCCACGGGATGGCCGCTAGGATTCGCTAATTTCCTCGCTGCGGAGGCGGGGGGCGGCAAGGCAGGGGGGCGCGCACGTCGTGAGTCAGAGGGGCCCCGCAATGGACGAAACGTTGGCCCAATGCTGACAGGAGAATTGCGCATGCGTGCACCCATCGTCGGGCCTGATTGTCCCGAGCTCGATCGGGGACAGGAAGGCAATGGAACCTCCCACCGTAAACCTCAGCGTTGGTTGCCTTTACGCTTCCTGCACCAAAAGACCAGCTACGGGCGTGGAGCAAGGCATGGGTACTGCGGGGATGGACATCCTGTTAGGATCAGCAGACACACGAAGAAACCCGACAAACGCCAGTCGCGGCACAGCAACGGGGTGGGACCACACAGTATCTGCATCTTCGAAAAGCGACGCGCCAAACAGTTCATCGCATCATTTCCAAACGCAATGTTGCAGTGGATCTACAGCTGATTCGCGTCATGTCGACTCGGCGGCGAAGCCAGCGCGGGCGTTCAAGTTTGTGTGCCGCTTGTGGTCGAGAGCCGGCCGACATCGAAAGGTCTGCGCTACTGGAGTGCAGTGACCGTTCAGTGTTAGACGATCCACGAGGTGTCAAACACCAATTGTCACGGCACGAAGTTGTCACTAATTAGAGGGCGGGGGCGGGCAGATTTGTTCGCTGGAGGGTGCTCTAGCACCGCGGCATTGGTGATTTGTTTGACGTCGCCGTGTTCCAGGTGAGCGCGAGGGTTGAGCGCATTCTCTGTCGTTGCATGTGGGTTGACGACATGCTTCGGTACGTTACCATTCGGCACGGGGCGAAGAAGCGAGGGCGAGTGCACAGTGTGATTGGACATCCCGCGCACGCCATCAGGATGGATCTTTGTGTGGCGGTCAGCGACGTGTGGTTCAGCCACGCCAGCATGATCATTGAAGTCTGTATTCCCATCTTCCCCGTCCCACCTTTTTCGCTTTCACGATTCGCATCCCATCCTGCTTGCCCGTCCGAGGAAAACAAATGAACTTACAACGCAAATGATGGTAACCCGAGTGGTCCTCAAAGGTGCAACTGTTACAATGTGGGGATTAACTCCTGTGCGGGGTAGCTATGCGGTGTGAGTTGTGTCGTTCAAAGTGTGTGGTGTAAACGATAATGAGTATTCTATGCGGGCGGGCTATGTGGTGCAAACTATGTCGTTTGAGCGATGTGATGTGAACTATGGTGTGCGAGCTTTGGTGGGAGCTATCTGATGCAAGCTAAATGGTGTATGCTAGTCGGTTCAAGCTGCATGGTGTAAGAGTTGGTATGTAAGCAATGTGATGTAAGCGGTGCTGCCTTTGCTAAGTGGTGTGAGCTACGCGGTGAAACATATGCTATGTATGTTGTGCTGTGCAAGTTGTGTAGTCGGAACTAGGTTGTGTAAGCCTTTTCGTGGTGAACACTATTCGGTATAAGATCGGTAGTGTGAGATATCTGGTGTGAGCCATGCGGTGCAAGCGACGTGGTGCCCACGGGCGGGCACCAGGCAAAATCTTGGCATACCCCCCAGCGCGGGGCACCCACGAGCGCCCCGGAGGCGCCCACGGTCATAAAGGCGAAACCTCGGCGTACCCCACCAGCGCGGGGCGCCCAGGTGGCGCCCACGGGCGGACACCCGGCGAAACCCAGGCATACCCCCCCCCCAAGTGCGGGGCGTCCACGAGGCGCCAACGGGCGGGCACCAGGCGAAGCCCCGGCATACCCCCCAGCGTGGGGCGTCCACGGGCGGGCACTGGGCGAAACCCCGGCATACCCCCCAGTGCGAGGCGCCTACGAGGCGCCCACGGGCGGGCACCGGGCGAAACCTCGGCGTGCCTCCCCAGCGCGAGGCACCCACGAGGCGCTCACGGGCGGGCACCAGGCAAACCTCAGCGTTCCCCCCCGGCGGTCGGCGTCGACGGGGCGCCCATTGGAGGGGGGCCACGTGCAAACACCGCTGAAGGAAAAACGCCTTTTCCTCCTCCGCCCCAGTTCCCTCGCGGTGATTCTGCGGACCGGGCCAGACCCCCGAGGATCTCCGTCGTGGAACTGTGCTGCGCGAAGAAAGTCTTCGAATGGAATTCCGTCGAGTGCGCTGGCGACTACAACTTCGGCATCCAGTTCCTCCCCAAGGCTGAGCCGCACTAGGGGTGGGCCCTCTCTCCTCAGTTCCCACCCCCGGCACCTCATTCCTCCTCATGTTCGTCCTCCACCACCACCACCACCACCACCATCATCATCATCATCATCATCATCATCATCATCATCATCATCATCATCATCATCATCGTCATCGTCATCATCATCGTCATCGTCATCGTCATCGTCATCATCATCGTCATCATCGTCATCATCATCATCATCATCATCATCATCATCATCATCATCAGCATCATCATCATCATCCTCATCCTCATCCTCATCCTCATCCTCATCACCATCACCATCAGCATCATAGTTTTGGCTCGAGGGTTTTGGGGGCGTGAGCAGGCTGACGCGATTTCTCGTGCTGAGGCTAGCGCAACGTGGTGCGCGCTTCGGCAAGCAACCATAGTGCCCGCCGCGATCGCCAGCGGGCCCGCCCGCCTCTGGCGGCCTGGGTGGCAAGGAGCCGCGTGCGCGTGCGCCTGGCGGAGGGCGCCAGGACCCCCACGAGCCGCCACGGCTCCTCGCCTGGGAGGATGGCGGCCCAGAGCAGCGAGGGCGACGGCAGCCAGGCGGGCTGGGACGACGCGGGGGCGGGGGAGGCTCGCGGGAGCGACGGGGTGGCGAAGCTGCGGGCCCTCGTCGCGAGGCTGGAGGCCCTGGGCAGGCCTGGCGAGGCCAGGGTGTCGAACCTGGTGCCGCTTTTGGCGTCCTACCGCAGCGAGGTGGCGGAGCTGGACAAGCGTTGCTCGGCGAAGCAGGAGCAATTTCACGAGCGGAAAAAAGGGGGCCCTCGCCATCGCCGAAAGGGAGCTCGAGGAGGCGCTGGCCGAGCGCGCCGCCTTCGGCGCGGAGCGGGCCAAGGTCGCCGCGACCCGCCTGGCGGAGCTTGCGACCAAGGCTGCGCCTGTGGCCAAGCGCGAGCGGCTCGTCCTGATTTACTACGGCAACCTCCAGGCCGCGGCGGAGGTCCAGTTTCCCCCTGATGTCGCGGCCGCGGCGCAGCTCGTCGAGGGGTGGGGCGCGCAGGGGGCCGCCCCTGCCGCCGCGGCAGCCTGGCCGAGCAGCGCGGGAGGCGGCACCTGCGCAGAGCCGTTCGAGGTCGTCTCCAGCCAGGACGAGGGCGAGAGCGCGGACGCGACGATGGACGACGCATCGGAGTCGGCACTGGATGCGGATTTGGTGGGCCCTGGCGGTGATGGCGGCCGCTCTGCCTCGAGCCTCAGCCGCGAGGGGAACCGCATCATCGTCGCTGCAGCCCGCGCCATGGCGGGAGGCGATCGCCGCGGGGGCAGCGGTGGAGTCATCAAGAAGAAGTGATAGCGGCGGGGCGCCCGTGCCCCTCTGCCTCGACGCGCTGACCCCAGCGGGCGGCCCAGCGGCGCGCGCGCGCGGCGCCCGCGGGCGGCCCCGCGGGGGCATGCCCGCACGGGGGGGGCGGCCGTCGCCCCAGCCGCCCCGGGGGCGCAGCCCCTGGGCGGCCAGCCTGGCAGCGGCGCGCCCGCCCGCACATTTCTGATGTCGTCGCGGTCAACGGGTCTGGATGGGGCCCGCTCGCCAAGCTCTGGCAGAAGGAGGCGGCTGGCGCAGACGCGTGGCTCGCCCAGGAGACGCACCTCCACGCGCGCGACATCGACGCGCAGGAGGCGCGGTGCAGTCGCGCGGGGGTGAAGGCTGTCCTGGCGCCCAGCGCAGCTGGCAGCGGCGGCGCGGGAGGCGCCCGCGCGGCCGCGGGCGGCGTCGGGGTCGCAGTCCACGCCGCGCGCGGCCTTGCCAACGCCAGCGCGGCATGCGGCGGCCGCGTGACCTGCAGCGACGGGCGCCGCATCGTCGCGGCGACGGACGCAGTCCGCCGCGGCGGCCTCGCTCTGGGCAGCACCCACCAATCTCGACTACTTTGTCGTGCGCCGCAGCCGAGCGGAGTCCGTGAGATGCTGCAGCGCTGTCGCCCTTGTACCGTTTAGGCCCCACTGCGCAGTCGGGCTCGCGCTGAACGCGCGCGCGGAGACCGTGCCCGTGCGGGCCCTGAAGCAGCCGAAGGCTTTCCCGATGGGACCTGCCCGTGGGCCCGCGGCGCGAGGCCGCCCCCCTCCGCCCGACCTGCAGTCGCCGGCGGCCTCGGCGCCCCCCCCCCCCAGCCGCGATGGAGAAGGCCTACCTCGTGGCCGCGCGGCAGGCCGAGGCTGAGCCCTGCTGCGCCTGCCACGGCGACGACCCGCTGGACGTGCAGGCGCACTGCGGGCGGGGCCTGGGGCCCGAGGAGCGCCGGGTGACCCCGTCCTCCGACCGCCCGCAGATCTCGGGCGGCCCCAAATCGAGCGGGGAGGCACGGCACTTCTCACCGTGGCCGACTACTTGGACGACGCCGCCGCGCAGCGAAACGCGCGGCGGCGCGTGCCCGCGCGGGCGGCCATGCGCCGCGGCGCCCGCTGGGTGGCCGCGCTGGCGGACGCGGCCGTCGCGGCCGCCGACGCCTTGGCGGCGCCGGCAGCCGAAGCCCGACGTGGAGCCGCCGCGCTGGCCGCAGAGCAGCGCCGACGACGCCGCGCGCGCTTCAAGAAGTGGGTGCTGGAGGCGCTCGAGCACGGCGCAGGTGGGCCCCATGCATGGCGGCGCGGCCCGCGCGGATGGCAGGAGGCGCCCCGGGAGCTGGCCAGCGAGACGCGGGCGCCATAGGCAGGCACTGGGCGACCGAGGTCTGGAGCACGGCCGACGGCTCTGATGGGTGGCAGGACTTCGAGCGGCAGTCGGACTCGGGGGGGCTGCCCAGGCCGACCGCAGACGAGTGGCTGGACGCCGCCAAGTCTTTCGCGACGCGCACGGGCATATGCGGCATGGGCATCGACCGCGCGTCGCCCCGCGCCCTCGCCCAGGTGTCCGCGGCCGCAGCCGAGCTTCGTGGACGTCGGCATGGCAGCCGAGGAGTGGGGCGGCTGGCCTCTGGCGGCGCGGGCATCGCTCGTCGCGATGCTGCCCGGGCCGACGGGCGGGCGGCGACCCATCGGGCTGCTCTCCAGCATCCCGCGGATCTGGAGCAAGCTCAGGCAGGCCGAGGCTCGGCGCTGGGAGGCCCCCCTCCGCGGCAGCGGCGCAGGCGCCTTCTGGGGCGAACCAGGGCGCTCGGCCCAGGGGCCCGCGTGGCGCCAGACGCCGGCCGCAGAGGCGGCAGGGGCGCGGCTGCTCCACGGAGCGCGCTGCTGATCGACCTCGGAAGGCGTGCGAGACGGCGCGGCTGGCCCGCGCCGGGCGCCTGGCCCTCCGCGCTGGATAGCATGGCCGACCGGTTCGCTGCGCCGCGCCAACCCACCGCGGCGCGCGCGCTGGACGCAGGCCTGCTAGCTGGACGACCGCGCGCGGGGAGGGCCCCGAAGGCGGCGATGTTGCCGGCGGCGAGGGCGCATTCCGAGGAGTTTGGCGCCTGCAGCAGCGGCGAGCTGAAGTCCGACAGGTACGTCTTCTACGACAACACGACCGTAGCCTGCTACGGGCGCGCCCCGCGGGCGATCGCGATGCACCTGGTCGAGGCGGGGCTCGCGGCGGCAACGGGCCTGACTGCGCGCGGCCGCAGAATCCCATGGGGCCAAGACGCAGGCGGCGGCCTCCGACCTGCTGGCGCGGAACGAGGTCCAGGCAGCGCTGAAGTCCAGCACTCTGAGTTCCAAGCCGACAGAGGCCGCGAAGAACTTGGGCGCGGATCCCTGCCTGGACGGCTCGGCCGCGGCGGGGGCGGCGAGGAAGCGGCGCGCCGAGGTCCGCGAGCAGCTGGGGCGGGCGGCGGGCGCGCGTCGCCAGTCCATCGGCGCGGCCACGTGCCCGCTCGTGGGAGGCACCCCCCCGGCGATGGCCGACGGCTGCAGTGCCCGGGCCCGGGTCGCAAGCGAGCTCGAGCAGTGGCGCTCGGCGTTCGGGTCGCTAACCTTCGGCAGCGCGCGGGGCCGCTCGCTGCAGGTGGGCTTCGCGCGGGCCGCTGCGCCGCGGCGCGACCCATGGTGCTCGCTGGCAAAGCAGGCGCTCATGACCTGGAGCCGCGGGCTAGCGCGGGATCGACCCGGCGCCGCCAGCGACGTGCCGCGGGCATGGTCGCGCTCGGGCGGCTCGGCTGGGGCTCGACGGCGATGCGCCGCTGGGCCGCGGGTGACGGCGCGGCGCTGAAGCTCGAGGAGATCGGCGGCCACGCGCTCCGCAGGCACATCTGCGACCCCCACCAGCGGCGGCTCTGGCGCGAGGCCGCGGCCCGCGACGCGGGCCTTAAGCGCGCGGCCAGCGGCGCGGCCACCCGCGGCCTCCGACGGCGGCGGCTCGCTGCCAAGGCGAGCCCCGAGCAGCGGGCGCGGCGGTCCAGCGCCCGCAACGCGGCTCTCGGCGGGCTATGGCCCGTGGCCCGCCGCGACGCCCTCGACCCGCCGCTGCGCCGCTCGGGGGCCTGCCCCGCGGGGCGCGGCGGCCGCGGCTCGGCGAGGCGCGCCGCCCTCGCAGCAGAGCGGCGCGACGCCAGCGCAGGCGACGAGGTGCTGCAGGCGTTCGCTGACGTGGCCGCGGAATCCGACAGCGAGAACCCCCGCTACTCGAGGGCCTTCATCCCCCACCAGGCGGCAGCCCTCCCACCGCCGCTGGCGGCGACCGGGGAGGTTCGGTGGAGCAGCGGCCACGGCTACGCGGCCCTGGCGGGCGCCAGCATCCTATGCGCCGACGGCTCGGCGATGCGCGGCAAGGCGGGGTCGCCCGAGGTGCGCGCTGGGCGGGGGCCCCCGGCGCTGCAGACCCGCGGGGCACCGCGCGGCGCCTGGGGCTGCGTCCCAGCCCACCTGCCGCAGGACGCAAACACAGGCGTGATCCTGGCCGCGGCCCGCGCCCTGCGCTGGGGCCTGCCAGGTGCGGATGGCATCCTCGAGCTCAGGACGGATTGCAAGCTGCTCGTGACGGGATTTGCCGCTGGCAGAGCACGGTGATGCGCGCGGGGCCGCCCGCGCCTGGGGGCGCGGCGCGAGTCCTGGCATGCCGCGGGCGACTTCGGCTGCCAGCAGAGCGCGCGGGTCGCCGAGGTGAAGGGGCGCGCCGCGGCCCGCTCGGTCCGCGACGGCTATGTCACATGGGGTGACTACGAGGGCAACCGCGCCGAGGACCGCTTCGCAAAGAAGAGCGCCGAGCTCCACCTCGCGCGCGAGGCGGCGGCGGGGCGCGTCGAGCTGGCCGACGCGATCGCCGCCGCGACGGCCCGCTGGCTCGGCGAGGCGCTGCAGCTGGGGAGCGCCGCCCTCGCGGCGGCCGACGGCGCGGGCGCGGGCGCGGCGGGGCCGACCTGCTGCGGGCGCGGGCGCGGGCGCGGACGGCGGGGCGCTGCGCGCTGCCGCGACGGCAAGCCGGGCTGCAGACGCTGGCCCTGCGCCGGGCACTGCGCGGCGGCCTCGTTCGCGAACGGGGCGCGCTGGCTCTGCAACGCCTGCGCTGCCGCTCGGGCGGAGCGCCCGTCCGCGGTGGACCGCGCGGGCAGCGGGCAGCGGGGCGAAAGCGCAAGGCCCTTGGCCAGGAGGCCGGCACGCGGCGCGGACCTCCGCGAGCGCGGGCCGCCGAGGCGCCGAGGGCGCGGGAGCGGCCGCCGCGGGCGCGGCGGCAGCGGCGGCGCTGGCGGCACAGGCCCGCGGAGGCGCCCAGCACGACGGCAGCGACGCAGACGAGAGCGGCGAGGCAGCGGGGGCCGAGGCCGCGGGCGTCCGCCCGCGATGGTGGAACGTGCGCTTCGACGAGTCGCACCACCTGTGCGGTCGGCCAGGGGCAGCGGCGCCTCGTCTTCTGCGCGGTCTGCGGCTGCTGCGCCGACGTCGACGGGGCGCGCGTGGTCTCGCTCCGCGGCAGGCGCGCGGCGGGCGCCAGCGCCCGCCAGGAAGCCGCTTTGAGGAGGATGCGGCAGGGGAGACACCCCACGCGGGGAGGCGCGGGCGCCGAGCTCGGGGGCGGACGGCCCGGGCCGCTGAGCCGCCCGCGTAGCCGCTCGCGGGGGCGCGGTTCGGTGGCGAGGGTCCCGAGCCGCTGAGCGCTCAGTGCGGTCACCTCCCCTCCTCCCTCGTGGGTTCGAGGGCCCGTGCGCGCGCAAGATAATTTGCAGCGGCTGCGCCGAGCTCCGTTCCCAGACCGTTTCGGCCTTGACCCCTTGACCTATCATCAGCATCATCATCATCAGCAGCAGCAGCACTACCATCATCATAATCCGCATCCCCAGCATCATCCCATCCTATCCTCCTAGTCGGCCCTCGTCATATCTCATGTATTTATATTTGGTGTGTTTGCGTTGTTTTCTCTCTCTCTCTCTCGCTTTCTCCTTCTCTCTCTCTCCTCTTTCCTCCGCGCCCTAACCCTTCCGTTATCAGTGTCGCGTCGGCCGTTCAATCATGTGTTGTCCTCCCACGTCTCCTCTCCTGCCCCACCTCAACCGTGATCTCAGCTCCGTCCTCCACATATATGTATTCTCCCGGCATCGTTATTCATATTGGTTCTCCGCCTCCTAATCCGTAGACGCGCTAACGTCAATGCAGGCCACGGCGATGTGGGTTTCGGCATTGTAGGTGGGACTGGTTTGTGGCCGAACCAACTGTAGGACATCGTGGTTCGCGCTTTCCTACAAGTCGTGGCGTCGTCTTCGTTCGATACATTCGCACATTTGAAATATAGGAAGGTTTGGTTCGTGATTTCCTACCATTTGTTCTGCGCGAGTTCGGTGTCACAAACATCAGATTCCCAACATCGCCGTTCACCAACATCGCCGCTTGCGCGGCTTACTCCTTGACGTCCTTCTCCTCCTGAACTTCAGGTGGGTCGTATGCGTGTGAGAGTAGATGCGCTGCATGCGTGTGTGAGTAGATACGGTGCCACTTCAAATTTCACAACGCGCTCTATTTTCCTCAGGCGTAGCAGCATCGACATTGCTCATCAGTTGCGTACTGCTCCTCCTCCTCCTCCTCCTCCTCCTACGCGATCCAGACTCCGCCTTTGCAGCTGACGCCGCTGCAGATGGGCCAAGGTTCAGACCCATTGCGCGGATGCAGGGGAGCCGTACTCATCCCTGTCCGCCAACAAAGGCGACCGCCTTCCTACGCCAGGCCCATTGCATCAACTGCTCATGACAGTGTGCCCCGAGGCAAGTGTGGCGCTGGCACCATGAAAACAGGTGCCAGGCCCCCGCCTGGGGCCTTCTCAATTTCCCCCTCTTCCTCCTCTTCCTCCTCCTTTTCCTCCTCCTCCGCCTCCTACTCCTCCTCCTCCTCCTCCTCCTCCTCCTTCTTCTCCTCCTCCTCCTCCTCCTCCTCCTCCTCCTCCTCCTCCTCCTCCTCCTCCTCCTCCTCCTCCTCTTCCGCCTCCCCAGTTTTTTCTACCCTATTCGTCGCCCTCCTCCCCCATCCTCCCTTCCTATTCCTCATCCTTCCTCCCCCACCCCTCCTTGCCAGAACGTCGCAAGATGCGAAGAGCTTCAGGATGCTCTTTCAAACACCCGGAAACATTCGCAACACACCCGAGGGCATCCGAAGTTTTTGGAAGCCGCAGGCAGCCCCGAAGACCTCCCACCTACGTGTGTGGCTTCGGTTAAGAAACAGTGCGCTCCTTGTTCAATCGCTTCGCTCATTCCGCCGGCCCATGTTGCATGATCGCTACTGCTTCGCTGTGGGCCTGGGGCCACTGTGGCGCCGCCGAGGAGGAAGAACATGAGGATGGGGAAGGGGAGGGGAGGAGGAGGAGGAGAGGATGAGAAGTAGTAGGAGGAGGAGGAGGAGGAAGAGGAGGAAGAGGAATGGGCGGAGGAGGAAGCCACCGTAGCCATTTTGGCTCATGCCGCTCAGCAGCGAGCGAAAGCTCCTTTGTTCAAGCCGGCATGGTGATGGTTCCCTCGGCCGGAGCATTTGGTGGCGAGCGTTGCGCTGTTGATGCTGAAGGCTACGGGCAGGGCTGCCAGTCGGGCGATCCTGGGAGGAGTCGTGCGGCGCGTTCCGCCGCCGCGAGGAGAGCAAAGGAGAGCGCGGATGCTGCAATTCGGCGCTTGAGCCGCCAGCTGGAGGAGGCGCATTCCCTAGTTGTGGCCCTGAACTCGGATATCCCCTCCATGACTTTCGGCGTGTCGATTTGCGAGGGCTTGCGTGCCGAATTGCAGGCCAGGTTCAAGCTGATTATTCCTGTGCTGGCGGCTGGCCTTTCGGGGTCGAAGGTGTTGGGAGTGGCGAGGGTTCGGCGTAACATAGCCTCGCGCGACTTCGAAACGCCTGCCACGACCATCGGGGAGGCTTCGCAGTCCGAGCTGAACGCCATCCAGCGGCGGCTTGGGGGCCATAAGGATATGCTGCATGCGGTTGCGGCCAGGGCGCCAGCAATCGCCCCATTCCCCCACCCCGTCGCCGTGGACGCCGTCACGGAGGAGAGCGGGGAGAGCGAGATGGAGTTGGTGGCAGCCGTCCTGCCTGCGCCCCAGGCTCCTGGTACGCGGTGCACGCGTGGTGCGATCGTTTTCTCGTCTGTCGCCGTATCACCACACGCTGAGCGCCGTGCTGGAGGGCCGCCACGTGGAACGGGGACCCCGCGGCTTCTGGCGAAGCCGTTCGTGCTCCGAGCCGAAGCGGAGTGCTTTGTGCCGCTGAAGGGGCTCCACGAGCAGATGAGCATTCGGGCCCCTGCGGGGGACGGCTGCCCGGTTCCTGGGGCCGCGGCGTCCGTGCGGGACATTCGGGCCCCTGCGGGGGATGACTGCCCTGCTGCTGGGGCCGCGGCGGCCGTGCGGGACGTGGAGATCGTATACGTCCACGAGCGTCTCGCGGAGCTGGAGCAGTGGGCGGCCGCTGCATGCTCATCCACAGGGCGTCCGTTTGTTCGGCGACAACAGCGGCTCGGCGATGCCAAGTTCAGCGGGATCCCTGGCGTTGGGCCGCCGACCGACGCTTCGCGCAAGAAGCAGTAGCCGTTGTTTCGCGCTGCAGGTATTCGCCTCGTGTCTGTCGCCGTGGTTCCGGCTTTCTCTGTATTTTGCTGCTGCAATTGAACATGGGAAGCTGAGTGACTCTGCCAATGTACCTGTTGTCGCAATCATATTGTTATCCGTGAGTGGCTTTTACCTTTGTATGTTGATTTTGTCAATGCTCCGCTGCAGTGTATTGTCTTTGTGCTCGGTTGGACATTATCTTATCATCCATTTCTTAGTGCCCTCACTTGCTGTGTTGATGAGACGTGCATTCTTCAGTGGGCCCCGTTATGAGTATTCAAAGGTAGCCCTGTCATGTGTTGCCATGCAGTGTAGATGTTTCGTGGTACTCATTTCTTGCACTTCGAATTTTGACCGTGTCTCCATACCGTCTCGTGCATGTTGCCCTCAATGCTTTGGGGAAGGCCAACCATAAAGTGTGGCGTGCGTTGACCCTCTGTTCCAGAGGTAGACTTGTTACTGCAATGTTCTTCTGTGTGAACTCGTGGAATGGCCCTGGCGCCTCGGGACGCGCGATGATGATGATGGCGGAGGAGGAAGCCTCTCGTCGGCATCTTGCGTTGCTCTTGGGGTCAAACAGGGTCGTTGTCAAGATGCTTCTTTGGGAGGCCTCTTGGGGTCTTTTGAGGAGCCGTTCGGGGGCGCCTGGGAGGCATTTTTGAAGCCTTCTGGGGGGCCTCCTGGGGGCCTCCTGGAGGCCTCCTGGGGCCTCTTGGCGGCATCTTGGGGCCTCTCGGGGACCTCTCGGGGCCTCTTGGGGCCGTCTTGGGGCGGAAGGCTCTAGGTTTCCGTTCGTGGTCCCCCTCTTGGGCCCCTCTTGGGGCCGTCTTGGGCTGTCTTGGGCGCCTCTTGGGCCGTTCCGGGGCCCTCTTGGGCCCTCTTTGGGCCCTCTTGGAAGCCTCTTGGCCCGTCTTGGAGCACCGGATGGCCGAAAAGGAGGCAAGGCCAGAATCCTTCCAAAACCATCGTAACATTTCTGATTTGGCCCTCTCGGGGCCCTCTTGCGAGGCCTCTTGGGAGCCACTTGGAGGCCTCTTGGGCCGTCTTGGGGTCATCGTCGGCGTCTTGGAGCGCTCTGTGGGCGTCTCGGGGGCCCTTTGGGCAGTCTTGGGGGCCTCTTGGGGCACTCTTGGCGCGCTCTGGGGGGCCCGAGAAGCCACGCCCAGGAAGAAAACCACTTATGGGTAGCAGTGGTCGGGCTGCGGTCGGGTTGTTTTTCGCCGGGGGGGCCCCAGGGGCCGCCCCGCGCGCGCGCGAACTTGAAATATCGTTAACCAGTTACCAGAGATCTTAGCACGCCTCTGGCCCGCTGGGCCGGCGAATTGGCCCCATGCAGTCTCGCTGAATCGGAAAAAACAGTTCTCAACCAGATGAGAAATTCGCGTCTGCTCCCCGAGCCCGCGAAGCAGCACGCGACAGCTGGGCCCAGTGGCACTCAGACACCGTCGGGTGGCCTCCGATCAGGGCTCCGTGAACGGCGACTTTTTGATAAATCAGGACGTTGGCGCGCCCGAGAAAATTGCAGCCGTGGGTCGAAACATGATCCATGATTCCTTTTCCCCCATTGGATCTGGCAAATTGCAGAGTCCTGGCTAGGGCCCTGATCCGAAAACCATTGAGATCGCCCGACAATGTCCGAAGACCGCCGAGCCCTTCAGACAGCAATCTAGGGCCACCAGGGAAAGCTTTCGCGAGCATCCCAAACTACCATGGCGCCAGCGAAACCTTCGTACTTCGGCAGTGCGCACGAAGGTGACAGGAACTTGGCAGGAAAAGCCCCCAGTCGCGCGGGATCGCGCAATAAAGTGGCACTCCTTTTTGAATCGACCAAAGTCTCCGTCTGCTGATCGGGTGGCCCCAGCTTTTCCAGGGAGCCCCGATTGGCCTCCAGAGCACCCCGTACGAGGACCAGAGGGCCTTAGGGGCCCCCAGATGACGCGAAAAGCTGGGGGCACCTTGGGCCAGGGACTCTTGTGGCAGCCACCCGATCTGAGCACCCCCTTCAGGGCTGCGCTGACCCTAAGGAGGTGGGCCTGTGGAGCCGTCGACGGCGCAGCTCGCGTGGAATCCGCCCCGAGGGCTGGTCATTCGGCAGGCCCCAGGGACCCGGCCGGGCCCTCAAGGGGCCCGTGCTCAGGAGGGCCCGCGGCTTTGGCCACTGCAGGATGCGCCAGAGGCCGTCTTTTTGCGAGGCCCGAACCCGGGGCCTACATGGAGCACGCCCCACCCAGGATCTCGAGACGAACGCGGCCGCTGACGACGAGGGCACCACCTGGGGGAGGCACCTCGAAGGCCGAAGGAGAAAGCTGGAGTTGTTTATACGCAGACGTTTGGGCAGCTGGGCGGATTTTTGGATCTGCCCTAAAACCACCCTGGCGACGCCTCTAACGCCGCCCGCCCCTGGCGCGCCGCGCGCACCAGGGAATGGGGGCACCAATGCTGATCCAAGAAACCCGCGCGGACCTTCGAAACTTGATGCTTGTGTGTATGTCCCCTCTCCTACGAAGGCCGAAGACATCACAATCCAGCCGCGTGTGCTTCTGGACTCCTGGTAGACTCCAGAGGCCTCGTGACCAGAGAGCCACCGAGGTCCGACGAGAGCGCCCGAATGCCTCGAACACCTCGACGGTGTTTGATACCAAACCAATGAGGAACACCTGTTAGCTAGCGCGGATTCAAAACAGCGTGTTTTTAGCAGTCGGCCGGCTCACCCAGTCCACCCTGGCAGCTGGAGCCCTGCTGGTGCCCGGCTCGGCGTACGCTGGCGTCCTCCCGCCCCGTGCGGCAGCGCCCGACGACGCCGCTGCTGCCCGGCGCCGCCGCCCCGCCTGCGGGTCTCCGCAGGCGGGGCGGCGGCGCCGGGGGCGGCGACGGGGCGGCGACGGCAGCCACAGAGCCGCCAGACCGACGCACGGGCCGAAACGATAGGCCGCGACGGGGCGGCGACGGGGCGGCGACGGGGCGGCCACAAAGCCGCCACACCGACGCACAGGCCCAGACGATGGGCGACGACGAAACGGTGACGGCGGCCACACAGCCGCCACACCGCGCACAGGCCCAGAAGATGGGCGACGACGAAACGGCGACGGCACTGGGAGGCGACGGAGGCCACAGCCGCCAAACCGACGCACAAACCCAGACGGTGGGCGGCGACGAGGCGGTGACGGGAAGGCGACGGCGCTTACATAGCCGCCAGACCGACGCACAGGCCGAGGCGGCGACGGCGGCCACGTGGCCGCCTGACCGACGCACAGGCCCAGACGATGTGCGGTGACGGGGCGGCGACGGCGGCCACATAGCCGCCAGACCGACGAGCAAACCCAAACGATGAGCGGCGACGTGGCGGCGACGGGGCGGCCACATAGCCGACAGGCCGACGCACAGGCCAAGACGATGGGCGACGACGCGGCGGTGACGGGGAGGCGACGGCGGCCACATAGCCGCCACATCGACGCACAGGCCCAGACGATGGGCGGCGACGACCGACGCACAGGCCCGGTCGATGGGTGGCGACGGGGCGGCGACGCGGCAGCGACGGCGGCCACATAGCCGCCAGATCGACGCACAGGCCCAGACGATGGGCGGCGACGGGGCGGCGACGGCGGCCACATACCCGGCAGGCTGACGCACAGGCCCAGACGATGGGCAGCGACGAGGCGGCGACGGGGCGGCGACGAGGCGGCCACATAGCCGCCAGATCGACGCACAAGCCCAGACGATGGGCGGCGACGGGGCGGCCACTGGGCGGCGACGGAGGCCACAGCCGCCAGACCGACGCACAAGCCCTGACGATGGGCGGCGACGAGGCGGCGACGGGGAGGCGACGGCGCTTACGTAGCCGCCAGACCGACGCACAAACCAAGACGACTGGCGGCGACGGGTAGCCGCCAGACCGACGCACAGTCCCAGACGATGTGCGGCGACGGGGCGGAACGGCGGCCACATAGCCGCCGGACCAACGCACAGTCCCTGACGATGAGCGGCGACGAGGCGGCGAACGGGCGGCGACGGCGGCCACACAGCCGCCAGACCGACGCACAGGCCCAGACGATGGGCGGCGACGCGGCGGTGTCGGGGCGTCGACGGCGGCCATACAGCCGCCAGACCGACGCACAGGCCCAGACGACTGGCGGCGACGGGGCGGCGACAACGGTGGACCGACGCACAGGCCCACTTCCTTACGCCAGAAGTACGCGGCCCTTCGTGCAAGCAGTGTTTGGGGAAAACGGTCTGAGTCCCGATCGTGGTCGTCCCGATTCTCTGCTCCCCACGCGAGGTTTTAGTTTTGGTCGTACATTCTCGGCGATTTTCCCGCCTAGGGATGTTTGCCAGCAGCAGCCCAGGGACCCGACTTATGACCCGAAAGCCAGACGACGAGGGACGAAAGGAGGGGATCGGGAATGGGGGGTGGTACGGAACCTGTTGCGAGCAGCTGGCCGCAGCCCCACATCTGGGCGCTTGCCTCGGTACATCGGCGCCAGGAGGTCCCAGGGAAACAAGCTGCGTGAGCTGACTTGCTAACCCGCGGGCTGCGAGATCTATGCGCATCCACCGTGCCCTGGCCACGCCCATCTTGGGCCCAGGAACGGTGTATACCCCACCCTGGCCAGTCCAGCAGGGCGTATACACCACTCCTGGGCCCAAGATGGGCGTGGCCAGGGGCAGTGGAAATGTGCAGAGATCGACTCCCGATTTGCTAACCCTCCTTCAGTCCAGCCCGGGAGGCGCAGCTCTGCCCCACCCCTCCCGCCATTGAGCGCACCACACCGCACCCCCCCCTCCCCGAGGACGAGGAGGGCCAGAAGCGCTTGCGCCTCGCAGAGCTGAAGAACGGCCGCCTCGCCATGATCGGCTTCGGCGGTGCAGTCACGCAGGCGCGCGCGTGGTCCTCTTCTCAGTCGTTGTTGCAGTCGTCGGCGTTGCAGTCGGTGGCGCTGCCGCCGTCGACAGGGAGGAGTGGGATGAAGATGATGAGGATGATGAGGGTGGCTGTGATGATGATGCTGGTGGTGCTGCTGATGATGATGATACTGCTGATGATGCTGCTGCTGCTGATGATGATGATAGTGATGGTGATGGTGATGGTGATGGTGATGGTGATGGTGATGGTGATGGTGATGATGCTGATGATGATGATGATGATGATGCTGATGCTGATGGTTATGGTGGTGGTGCTGATGGTGGTGATGATGACGATTCCGATGCGCATTACGATGATGATGGTGATGCTGATGACGATTACGATGCTGCTGATGATGAATCTGATGAAGCTGATTATGCTGATGGTAAGTCTGACGATGATGGTGATGATGTGTCCCATGCTGATGCTGATGGTGTTGCTTATGGTAACTATGACGATATTGGTGATGCTGGTAATGCTGTTGGTGTAAATTATGAGGGTGACGATGACCATGTTGATGATGGTGGTCGTGATGATGATGCTGATGATGATGATGATGACGATGATGATGATGATGATGATGATGATGATGTGGATGATGGTGATGACCAGGATGGGGATGGTCATGGGGATGCGGATGGGGATGAAGATGAGGGTGAGGATGTTGCTGCTGGCGATGGTGATGAACATGATGAGGATGTTGAGTATTCTGAACATGATGATGACAATGATGATGATGAAGCTGATGATCTTGATGATGAAGATGACGATGACGATGACGATGGCGACTATGCGGATGATGCTTCTGATGATGATGATGATGATGATGAGGAGGAGGAGGAGGAGGAGGAGGAGGGTGGTGCTGGTTGTGGTTGTGGTGATGGTGATGGTGATGATCCTGATATTGATGATGATAATGGTGATGATGGTGATTCTGATGATGATGCTGATGATGAGGAGGACGATGATGATGCTGAAGGTGATGGTGATGGGAGTGCGGGCACAGTAGTGATCTAGCAGTGATACAGTTGCGTTGCGTCGATCTATTGAGGCCTGGTGTGTGCCGTGCTGCTGTTGGCCGCGCTGGCTCTGGCGGGGGTCGGCTGCTGGCGTTGGGTGCAGCGGCGGCCGGAACCCCAGAATTGAGGCCCGAGGGTGAGAAGGACGCCCCGCGCGCCAGCCTGCAGCGGCGGCTGCCCCTGCGTGGCGCGGTGGCCGCGTGGTTGCGTGAAGCACATCCGGGCACCAGAGGTCGGGTCGCGTACGCGGACTGTGACGTTGACCATGAGCGCGTGCTGGTCTGGCCTGTGTCGGCGATGCTGTGGTATGTGATGTCGCCAGATCGTGAAGTGTGGGTCGAGGACCTGTCAGCATTAGACCCCACGATGGGCCCTTGCAGGTGCTGGCGCGCCGCAGTAACAGTACGGTTTCAGAGTCCTGCCAGACGCGGCGGAGCTGTACAAGCAGATGGCGGAGTGCCTGCGTACGGTGTCCTTCGAGGTCGTCGTTGAGAGGCCTTTCCCGACGACGGCTGAGGTGGACGGCGAGGTATACGAACTTGAACGAACTGAGCCGCAGCAGCGGCGGCATCACGATCGGGGGCACGGCGACGCCTCAGCCCGAAGGCGTGTGGATGCTCTGTGAACCCGTCGGCCAGTCGGAGGCCAGGCAGGTGATCGAGCTGACTGACCAGGACCGCGCCTGGGGAGATCGGGCGCTGGTGCGAGGCCCTGACGGGCACGGCCGTGCTCGTCGGGCTGCCGCCGCGGGCGTGGCGAGCCTCGCGGAGGCCAGGCGACGGCAGCTGCAGGGCGCCCTGGAGGTGCCTCCGCTGGTCGACGTCGGCACGGAGGAGGCGGCGCCCTGGCGACGCGCTGACCACCGCCGGGGCCGCCGCCGGCTCGGCCGCCGTCCCGCGCGGCCGCCAGCGACGGAGGGTGCTCAGTGGCTGGGGGCGGGGGGCCAGCAGCTGTCGGCACAGGCGAAGCCGGCGCCCCCCCCCGAGGACGTGAGAATATCGTGGATCGACGCCGACGCGCATGGCGAGTGCTGCAATACATGGCGCGACGTCGCAAGAGATTCGACGACTGAGGTGCATGACGACACTCCTCTCGCAGGGCCACGCACCGCGCTGCACCACTTCAAGCACATGGAGACATGGAGCGGTTCGGCGGGATACCGAGGAGCTGGCTTGACAAGTGGTGCCAGGGGCACCACGTCGGGAAGCCGGACCGAGCAATTCATGAGCTCGAGAGGTTGGTCGAGACGCTGGTGATAGGCGGCAGCTTCGACCAGCTCAACTGGACGCCCCTCGTCAGTTTCGAGAAGACCCGCAGGAGGATCCAATTGATCATCGACGCTCGCGCCGGGCCAGGGACGGCCCCCACGCGGCGGACGGCGCGCCACTTCAAGGGGCCCACCGCGTTCAGCGGCGCCGTCAGCCCAGCCTCGAACGAGGCGAGCTCGGCCAGAACGCGCGCCCTCACGGCCGGCGGCGGCGGTTGCGAGGAGCAGCGCGGGACCGACGCGAGGAGCGATGCGAAGGGTCGCGGTCGCGGGCGCGGCCGCGGCGGCCGAGGCTGGCGGGCCGACGCCCCTGCAGATGGCCAATGAGCAGTGACCCAGGCGGCGGGGGGGGGCCCGACCCCATGCCCGCAGCACGCCGGTCAGGGAGGTTTCCGGCCTTCCAGCGGCAGCTGGGACTCCTTCTCCCTTGCCGCATCGGCCACTCGCGCGCTGGGCCGCCGGCGCTGGGGGCCGCCCGTCGCGGGGGCTTCAGGACGAGGCTCTCGCGGCGCTCGACTGGCTCGCTGGTGTCGACTTCGACGCCAGCAGGCCCGTCGCGGAGGGCATGCCGGCGCGCGGGGCCGTGGCCGCCCGCGCCGGACCCTATAGATCAATGAAGATAACTTGTTTGTCGTTATCAACTTAATAGAAAGTTGCCAACTTTCCGGGAAGTTGCCAACTTCTCATAAATATGTTTTTTCTCGGAAAGAGCGTAGGGCCAGGGTTTTCCGTCTGGTCATTGGCCGCTCGGACTCGCGTTCTGCCCGCGGCTTTTTACAGTGTCTTGCTGTCCGTCTTGGCCTCGCTTCCGATTGCGGTTCGGCTGGAGCTTGGCGCCGCAACGGCGACTTCTCCCCCCCGTTCCGTTGCCGGTTGCCGCGCCTTTTTTCCCCACCAGCCGGGCTCTCTGGGCCGGTCACCAGCAGACGCTGAAATGCGTTTCGATGAGGGGCATTTTGTCCCTGGCATGTGCATGTGCCGCTGCGTGTGTTGTCCGCTGGAATCCGCGGCAATCTCGCGCCAATTATCTACGTACCGCGCCCTGGACGTTGTGCTCGCTCCCTGTCTCTCGCCTTGGAGCCGCGAACCGAAAAAGTAGGCCCAGGGCTCTTTTTTAGTAGGTTTACCCCCCGGTCTGACGGGAAGAGGGCCGGCGGATTTCTTTTGCGACAAATAACGAGTGGGAAGAGGGCTGGCGAATTAAAATTTGAGGATGCCCCTAGCGAAACGCTTGTTTTTCAGAATTTGTTGAGGATGTCTCATGCGAAACGCTTGTTTTGTGTTAAAGATTGTCCTCCTCCTGGGGACCTAAATTCAGAGGATCTCTTAAGTGAAATGTTTGTTTTCACGTGCCCAGGTCTTGAAGATGTCTCGAGCGAGACGCTTGGTTTCACGCGTCCAGGTTGCCCAGACAGAGGTCAAGCGCCAGGATTTGTTGAGGATGTCTCGAGCGAGACGCTTGGTTTCACGCGTCCTCGTCGCCCAGGCGGATGTCTAGAATGAGGAGGTGTTGAGGAAGTCTCGATCGAGATGCTTGTTTGCACGTGTCCAGGTTGCCCAGGCGGATGCCTAGCATGAGGTTGTGTTGAGAATGTCTCGAGAGGTACGCTTGTTCTCACGTGTCCAGGTCGCCCAGGCGGATGTCTAACATGAATATGTGTTGAGGATGTCTCGAGCGAGACGTTTGCTTTCACGTGTACAGGTCGCCAAGGCGGATGTCTAGAATGAGGAGGTGTTGAGGAAGTCTCGATCGAGATGCTTGTTTGCACGTGCCCAGGTTGCCCAGGCGGATGCCTAGCATGAGGTTGTGTTGAGAATGTCTCGAGAGATACGCTTGTTCTCACGTGTCCAGGTCGCCCAGGCGGATGTCTAGCATGAGAATGTGTTGAGGATTTGTTGAGCGAGACGTTTGTTTTCACGTGTACAGGTCGCCAAGGAGGATGTCTAGAATGAGGAGGTGTTGAAAACGTCTCGAGCGAAACGCTTGTTTTCACGTGCCCAGGTCACCCAGGCGGACGTCTCACATGAAAACGTGTTGAGGATGTTTCGAGCGAACTACTTGTTTTTACGTGTCCAGTTCGCCCAGGCGGATGTCTAGCATGAGAATGTGTTGAGGATTTGTTGAGCGAGACGTTTGTTTTCACGTGTACAGGTCGCCAAGGAGGATGTCTAGAATGAGGAGGTGTTGAAAACGTCTCGAGCGAAACGCTTGTTTTCACGTGCCCAGGTCACCCAGGCGGACGTCTCACATGAAAACGTGTTGAGGATGTTTCGAGCGAACTACTTGTTTTTACGTGTCCAGTTCGCCCAGGCGGATGTCTAGCATGAGAATGTGTTGAGGATTTGTTGAGCGAGACGTTTGTTTTCACGTGTACAGGTCGTTCAGGCGGATGTCTAGAATGAGGATGTTGACAGGATGTCTCGAGCGAAACGCTTGTCCCCAGCACGTTCCGTAGCGCGTCCCCTTGGCGCGTCCTACGGTGCGACCCCATGGCACGTCCCCTGGCACGTCGCCTGGCGCGTCCCTTGGGACGTTTCGCGGCGCGTCCTCCTGGCATGTCCCCCTGTCAATTAGCTCTGGGGCAGCTTCTATGTGTTCAGGCAGCTCGATCTTAAGATCCAGATCAGTTCGGTCAGGACTCGGATGCAAAGGAAGACTCGATCCACGACGCTATAGAGCACAACCGCGGCATGGCACATCGCAATTCAGCACGGCGCAGCACAGCACAGTCCTCGGCACGGTACATCAAGATCGATACAATCAGTATTGCACTTGCCCGTCACCCAATCAGGTGTCTTTGAAAACGCTGCCATGCGTTACATTTCTATATTCCTTTCCGGGTTCGTGGGTCGATCATGCTGTTTTGAGCGAGTTTCGACGTTAACGGAAGCAAGGGGGGGCAAGTTATAATCCGCGACACAAACAGTTAACATGTCTGTTAATTTGTTTCGGTCGTAGAGGCACAATGGTAAGTTACAGTTGTTGCAGTTTCCTTGCAGTTTTGTGTGCAGCTTTGTCAAAACCACAACAAAGCTGCAACAGTTATGTTGCAGTTTCCTTGCAGTTGCGTTGCAGTTTAAACAAAACGGCAACGCATGTGTTGCAGTGTTGCTGCAGCTTTGTTGCAGTTTGAACAAAACTGCAACAACAGTGCAACACATGTGTTACATATTAGTTGCAGTTGTGTTGCGGTTTTAACAAACCTGCAACACAACTGCAGCAGTTGCGTTGCAGCCGGGTTGCAGTTTTGTTGCAGGTGTGTTGCAGTTGTGTGCTTAGTATTAACAAGTGGAACAGAATTGCAGCTGAGGTTTAGCAGTTGTGTTGCAGTTGTGTTGCAGTGGTGTTGCAGTTGTGTAGTAAATTTAACCACTCTACAGCAACACTACAACTGAGGTGCTGCAGTGTTGTTTGTCGCAGTTTCGTGGCGTTGTAGTTTCGGTGTCGTTGTGGTGTCGTTGCCGTTTCGCTGCAGTATCGTTGCACGTTCGTTGCAAGTGTGGTGTGGTTTTGTTGTGGAGTCTGTATTATGTTGTTGCGGTTGCGTTCCGTGGCAATAGGGTTGCGATGGCCAGGTGGAAAATCTTGGTGTTCGCAGGCAGTGTATGCAGGGGAGAGGGATGTCAGATGTGGCGCGAGCGCGCGTTAGCTTGCCAAATCTCTCCTCCCGCTCTTCCTCTCGCTCATCTTGCATTCGCTCCTCTCTGCTGCGCCCTGAGATCTCTCTCCGTCTCTCCTCTACCCCCTCACTTTTTTCCTCTCGCGCGTTGCATGGCCCCCCCGCTCTCCCATCTCACCTGTCCTCTCCTCCCCGCGTAAAGGAGGAAGAGAAGAGGGGGGGGAGGAGGATGGGGGGGGGGCGAGGACGAGGATGGAGGAGGGGACTGGGAGAAGGCAGAGGGGAAGGACGATGAGGAGGAGGTCCAAGCTAACAGCATTGATGGTTCGGAGGCTAATAGGGGAGATGCTGGCGACGTGGAAGAGGGAATGAGGACGAAGGGCAGGCAGATGCTTAGGACAATGGGGATTGAGGTAGTCGCGTGGGGCTTTTGGGCTGAGGGGCGCTGAGGGGGGTTCCAGGATGGGGCGGACATGCCCAGTGCACGTTTGCAGTGGAAGCTGTGTTTGAGCTTCGTTTCTTGATGTTTCCGAGCTTCAACGACTTAGGTTTGGAATTGTTCGAGTTTGGTTGCTCTTCTGGCGTTGGCTTCCGCTGCAAAGTCGCACTGGGGGCGCCCAGCCCCGTCCCTCCGCCGCCGTTCGGCGCGATGTCCAAGATGAGGGTGACGCCGAGCCAGGAGATCAGCGTTTCCGACCTCTACGGCCTCCAACACGGGGCCCAAACCCTAGTGAACCCAATGAGTTGTGCTTCCTCGCCGAGGCCGTTTTGGACGCTCCGACACCTCGCGACACCCCTTGTCCAGGTCCAGGGGAGGGGGTAGGGGGAGGGGTAAACCCTTCCCCGAAGGGGACGAAGGAGGGGTGGAAGAGGAAACTCCCTAAACCACCGACGCCCAGAGGGCTGGTGGGATTAGTTATGTCTTGACAGTCTGTCGCCCGTTTCGTTTGCCTCACGCTGCCGCACCGTTCTTTTTAGACGTGTCACCGCAGTTGTAAAACAAGCTGCACCATGATGGTGATGACGATGATGCTGATGATGCTGATCATGACGATGACGATGATGATGGTGATGATGATTATGATTTCGATGGTGATGATGATGGTGATGGTGATGATCATTGAGATGGTGATGATGGTGGTGATGATAGTGGTAGTGCCGTCGGCGATGTTGCTGGTGGGTTCGTTGGTGCTGGTGTTGGTGATAGGGATTGTGGTGATGATGATCGTGATGAATCCGATGGTGATCATGATGACGGTGGTTACGATGATGACGACGAAATTGCTGATGATGATGTTGATGATGATGGTGGTGGTCGTGAGGATGCTGGTGATAATGATGACGACGACGATTGTGATGGTGATGATGATGATGATGATGATGATGATGATGATGATGATGATGATGCTGATGGCGCTGATGATGACGGTGATGATGATGTTGATGATGATGATGCTGATGGTGATGGTGTCGATGGTGATGGTGATGGTGATGGTGATGATGGTGGTTATGGTGATCGTTGCGCTGGTGGTGGTGAGGAGGGGGAGGAGCAGCAGCAGCAGGGAAGGAGGAGAGGGAAGATGAGGAGAAGGAGGATTGGGAGGAGGGGGAGGGGGAACGATATGCGAGCGAGGGGGAGGAGGAGGAGGAGCAGGAGGTGGAGGAGGATAGAGAGGATGAGGGCAGCGAGGATGAGGAGGAGGTCTGACGCTTCAGCCCCTGGTGCTTAAGTCCGTACAACAAAAAGTAGCAGGAGGAGGAGAAGGAAGAGAATGAGGAGGAGGAGGAGGAGGAGGAGGAGAAGAAGGAGGACGAGCAGGTGGAGGAGAGAGGAGTGATGCAAGGGTAGCGAACCGCTAGTTCTGGCCCACCACGCCTCGGCGCGACACGCTAACCACGTCCTGTTCCCAAAGCATTCACGTCCCGGGCTTTTCCAGCATCCCACCCCGCGGAAGGGCACGACACGCCATCCGCTTGCGAGGCATCGCTTGTCGCTGGGGTCGCCGCCGCGACACGCTAAATAAACTTCCCGACCGCAGAGGAGAACGAAGCAGTCCTGGGGCCTGGTCTGCCTGGGAGTACGCCTCTAGGCAGGTTGAGGTGTCATGCTCTGCGGGCCGCCCGCGCTAGAACACAATTGCGACACGGCTGGAGGCAGGAGCTGGGGGAAGACGACGAGGAGAGAGGGGCAGAGTAGAACGGCGACGAGGGGGGGGGCAGGACGCGGAGGACGGAGAGAGAGGCCGGCGGACGGGGACAACGAGGAGGACGACAGGGAGAGGAGGCTGGACGGGGTGAGGAGGAGGCAGGTGGGGCGGACACGGAGAGGACTGAGGGCGGCGGCGAGATTGCCAGGCGGTGCTCACCCACAACCCGTTCCCGTGGCTCTACTGAGCGAATGCGCGGCTAGAAGGGGCCGTCCGCGTGGTTTCTCCAGCGCCGACTCAGCCTGGGGAGAGGGGGGGGGATCCAGGATGGAGGATCGAAGCGTTGGGGTTAACGTGGTTGTTTCTGCTCCTCCTCCGCCCTGACTATTGGAGTCCACCATGCCGAGTCAAAAACTCCTCCTTCGTTCTCCTCGGCCCCCTCACTCCCTCCACATTCCTCCGCATCCTCCTTCTCGTCCCTCCCCCTTCTCCTGCTCCTCCTCCTCCATCCACCTTCTCCTCTTCCTCCCCCGTCATCCGCCCGCTCCTCCTGCGTCCTTCTGCTCCTCATTCCCACTCCTCCTTCATCCTCCTTCTCCTCCGTTTCCGCAGAGCCTGGAATTTCTCGCTCCCAATCCCCAAGCCCCTCCCCCTCAAACACTTCCATATGTGCACCTCATTTCCTGGCCCGTCTCGCTGTGAGCGTCTAGCTGTGAGCGTCTGGGCGTTGGAGCGAATTCGAGTTGACGGCAGGTACGACGGCGGCGGCGGCGGTTGTTACGATAAAGGGCAACGCCGACCACAACGACAACAACTCATAGACAGACAGGCGGTGCGCAGTCGTTTCCCCTCTCCTTCCTCGTACTCCTCGTCGTACTCCATCCCTTCTATTCCTCCTTCCTCTCTTCTCCCTCCTGCGTCCGCCTCCTCCCTCCTGCGGGCCCCCTCCCTTCTACCTGGATGCTGTTCTTCTCCCTCCTCGCGCGTCATCATCATTCGTCCTCTGTGTCCTCTCTCTTCCGCCATCCTCCCTCCTCCTCCCTGGCAAGGGTCCTCCTCTCTGGCGCCCCCCCTTCCCAGCTCCTTCCTCTTCCTACTCGCCGTAGCCCCTCCCCTCTCTGTCTACCTCCTTTCTCCCTCCCCATGCGTTCTCCTTAGTGTTCCTCCGTCCTCCTCCTCCTCTTCTCTGGCGGCCGTCCTTCTCCCTCCTGCGTCCTCCCCATTCTTCGTTCTTGGCCTCTCTCATCCGCCGTCCTCCTTCCTCCCACATCCTTCGCACGTGTCCCCCTCCTTAGCGCCCCGTCCCACTCTCTTTCCTCTTCCTACTCGCCGAAGCCCATCCCGTCTCTTCCTCCATCCTTCCTTCTCCCTCCTCCTGCGTCCTCCTCCTTCCTTCTCCGCCTTCCCTCCTCTTTCTCCTCCGCCTCTTCCTCTTCCTCCTCCTCCTCCTCCGTGGCGGCCGTCCTTCTCTGTGGATCGAGGTGATCACGGGGCTCTGAATCGACAGGAGCCTGAGGTGCACCACTAGCACTTCGCGCGAGGTATCCCCACAACCTGGCCGCCAACGGGCGAGACATCCTCACACGTTGCTCTGGCAGCAGAGGAGCCATATACACCACAGAGGCGAACCACCTGGGGGAGTGTCCTCACCCCTGGCGGTTCCCCCTTTGGGTGCCCAAATGCAGCGCTTGCTATGCCGCGGTGATAGCTAGGACCGCCACGAGAAATTAGCCCGAGGCGCCGAAGCACGCACACCGCGTAAGACAGCCCCACACCCTGAGCGGGAACCATGGGATGCCCTCACCCCTGGCAGTTCCTCCGTGGGTGCCCAATTGCAACGCCTCCTATATCGTGGTGAGCAGTAGACTTCAAAAATAAACAGAGTCCGAGGCGCCGAATCAGGCAAACCACGTGAGACATCTCCACTATATTAACGCGAGCAATCGAATTTCTCCGACCCTGGCATCCTGGCGACTCCCCGTTGGGGTGCCCACACGTCACGCCTGCTAGATCGCGGTGAGCAATGGACCACCCACAGACAAGAATCCGAGGCTCCGAAACAAGCAAAGCGCGTGCGACACCAAGTGCGGATCATGTAGTGCCCCCACCTCTGTTGGTTCACCCGTTAGATGCTCAAATGCCTTACCTGCTATACCGTGGCGAGCATTGGACCACCAACAGTGAGCCTGAGTGAAGATGAGTGGCGAGTCTGAATAAGAGTGAGTCTGAGTGTGGATGAGCCTGCATGTGAGTGAGTCTGAAGGGGAGAGAGAGAGAGAGAGAGTGGCTCTGAGTATGAGTGACTCTGAGTATGAGCGAGCCTGAGTGTGAGTGAATATGAGTACGTATGAGTGGGTCTTGATCTGCGTGTGACTGACTCAGAGTGAGTGACTATGAGTATGAGCGCGAGTGAGTCTGAGTATGAGTTTTCTAGGTGACAGTGACTCTGTGTATGAGTGGGTATGAGTGCGAGTGCGTCGTAGTGAGAGTGAATCTGAGTGTGAGTGGGTCTGAGCGTCAGTGGGTAACAAGATGGGAGTGACTGTGAGGCGGAGACGTCCCAGTGATAAGAGAATCCCGTGTTCAGGCATGGGAAATACCAATACGTTTGCAAAGTCGGGGTTGGTATGCCCCCCGGGGAGGTATCCAGGCGCACCCCATGTCAAAGATGGACGCGCACCCCCACCCCCCAGCCACCGTACATCCCCGAGTCGAGCCCCACGTGTTCTGCCCAGTCCGCAGCGACGGGGAGGAGGGTCGTCATGCCCGCAGTTGCGAGGTCGGAGGATCGGAGGCCTCTAGCATCACGGAAACAGGTCCTGGAGGAAACGGGTCTTGGACGTGTGCACGACCTTCAGGCCCCCAGGGGCTCTCCACGAGCCCCAGCGGCCGTGAAGCCACGGCTCAGGACGAAGAGCTGGCCCTGGGGAGCGCCCCAGCGTCGAGGGCCCGTTCCGTGCAGGTCAACGCTGCCTTCATGCAAGGATGGGGAAGCTAGGCGTCGGGGGTGGCCAAGAGGAGAGTGGTGGTGAGGGGGGAGCTATCATGGCCAGGGCCATGATATCTCCCCGGATGTCATGGCCTCCCCTTCTCAAATCAAAGCGTTTCTTGGTCCTTCCCTCGTCCTCGCACATGCCGTAGGCCAAGATTTGCCAACCACCCTCGTGGACGCCCCCCTCGTGGACGCCCCCGATAGCGGACGAGGGACAGGCATAAAGTAAGTTTATCCGCCGTGCGGGAAGTTGTCATAGGGTTGCCGCAGAGTTTATGCCTCCACGTGCCGTCACAGGGTATAAACCCTCCAGATGTCCTGGAGCAGACGGGCGTCCCCGATCGTAGAAAGGTGTATCGTGTACTGTTACTCGCCCGCTAAGGGAGGGCCGAGGAGGGGAACCGGAGTTTTGGGGGAGGGAGGAGCATGGAGTATCCAGATTTCAGGGGGCCTCTAGGGGCCTTTGGAGAGCTCGGGAGGCATCGGGGAAACCACGGAGAACTTTGCTGCAAGTTAAGTTTCTTCCTCTAGTGGCCCTTACCCCGCCCCTGGACAGTCAAACAGCTGCTCGGGATGAACAGTTGGTCTGCGGGTACGGGTCGAGATTTCGGGCCTGCGTCCACGCAGTGAAACGAATCACGGTGTCGGGGGTCTGGGGAGGAGGCAGAGACCAGACCCCAGACATTCAGCGTTTCGATTCAGAAGGCCTTACGGCCGGTGCGGCCGACCTTAGAGGGGGTGGACGACCACGACGGTGGCGTCGGCGGCGACGACGTCGCTGACGTGGGGCAGAGCCATCAGGAATGCTTCGTGGGACCTCTTCGGGTGTCCCTTTGGGCCTCCTAGGGGACTCTTGGGGGCCTTTTGGGGCCTCGTGGGGGAAGGCCTCTTGGGGCCTCCTGGGAGCAGCTCGGGGCCGAAGGCTCGAAATGTTCGTTCGGGCTCCCGTGTGGGTACCCTCTGTGGGGGGCCATTTTGGGGCACTCGGGAGGAGGCAGAGATGGACACCCCAGACATCTGGCGTTTCGATGTTATGATGAGTGGGTGCCCCAAACCTCACGACCTCTTCCCCGAGGTCGGACGTTCGTCGCGAGTCATTTTCTGACGGCCCCGAGTCCCGAAACCAGCCTCGCGCTTCCAGACGCTAAACAGATCAACTAACTAGCAGCCTCGTTATCACATAGGCGCTGGGTGTCTGGGAACACCACGTGCGCAATCTACTCCTCGTGTCCCTTCTCGTCGTATCACCCCGATCGTCTGCGCCCCGCGTGCTTGCATTGATCAATGTCGCTGGTCCTGAGGAGGAGGAGGAGGGAGGAGGAGGAGAAGGAAGAGGACGACGACGACGACGACGTCGGCGAGGACGATGGCGAGGACCAGCTGTCGCCAACGGTAGCCCTGGCCCTCGAAGCTCGATGAGGAAGGAGGAGGAGGAGGAGGAGGAGGAGGAGAAGGGGAAAGGAAAGAAAAGGAAAGGATCGACGAGAAAGGGCGTCGGGAGGGAGGGGAAGCGGAGGAGGACAAAACATGGAGCACGGAACACGGAGGAGAGAGGATGGAGGATGGGGAGGTGAAGAAGGGGAGCAGAGGCGGCAGAGGAGGCAGAAGAGGAGCCGGATATTGAGAATGATGAGGAGGAGGCGGAGGAGGAGGGGGACGACAACGACGACGACGACGACAACGACGACTGGTAGGGGGAGGGAGGGGGGAGAGGGGGATGAGCACAAGCTTAGCAGCTAGGCGCGCCCCTGCCATATCTGACGTCCAAGTCCTGCGATATGACATGATGACCTGGGAGTGGATCGTTGCATGCTCTCGTTCAGCACCATGCAGACGTGCGGGATCTGGATCAGGTCACCCTCGGATCGCACGCACTCTGCCCTCGGCAGCGTTGAGTGCCTTGCTGAAGGACTCTCGGTACTGCTTGAGGCCAGCTGCAAATGGGGGTGGCTGCAGCCAGCGCTTCTGCTGATTTGCCTTGTCTGGGAATATGGGCCGGGCGGGGCTAGGACGGATAAAACGTTTCAACGCGTTCCAGATCTCTCTCAGAACGCTTTGGAAGGGCCTCGGCGCCCGATACACCCTCCAGAGCCACCAGATTTCATGTATCCCCATTTTATCCTAGTCTGATGTTGTTCTTGCCCTGGCTTCGTCTAAATGGGCGGTATGCCCAGCGGACCCTCCGCGTATTATTCTGGTGCACCTCCAACGTCACGATCGCCGGCTCTCTTGCCACGAGGCGCCCGCGGCTGGGT